GTGCGTTCACCCCCATTTCCTGGGAGATCTGGAAATACACTGAGCAGATCTATCAATCTCCTTCCACTGTCAAAAACTGGCCTTGTCCTTTGTTTCCTATAGTAAACACTTACTGATCTATATGGATACCTTCTCTTCTATCCCATGACATGTCACCAAAGCTCTTTGAAACTGAAAAGCACAGTGGCACATTCATTTCAATCCCCATGTTCCTGAACTCTTTCAAAGAGACATGGCTTTCCTCAGCAAAAACTAGACAACTCTTCCTCAAGACACTGTACGTGTCCTCCTTTTCTTCTTCCAGCTGAGATTACTGAGCTTTATCCTAGCTCTAGCCAGCAGCTCAATACAGAAGTCTACCAGGGTGACTCCCTTCTGCATCCCCATGGAACGTTTTTTCAGTGCTGGCATGTGTCACCTCCTCCAACCCTGGCCTCTCATCCTTTCAGCCAGCAGACTCTCAAAATACTTGGCTGCTTGGCGATGATATTGCAAGTAACTTTTCAGCAATGACACTGTGTTTTCTTTGTTTGGACACAGCATACACCTTTATGGAAGGCATATTTCTATTTCTAACAGCTTTCTTGACTCAGTTGTTTATCTGTGCTGAGCTATTTGTTTTTGTTTTATTTGGTTGTATGTGTATTTTAAGCCTCTAATCACGTAATTTAAACCTTCTCCATAACACCACTGAAGCATTTACCCTGATTGTCCTCTCTTTAAGGAAAGCGGGCTTATTCTGATATTGTTCTACTTTTGAAATAAGATGTGGTAGGCTCTTGGCTCTTCCATTCCTACAAGAATATTGAATTTGAAATGTTATAACCACTATAACAGAGCATCTTTGTGACAGTTACATCTTGAACTACCCCTGCTCAGCGCTGAAGCAAGATTTGCTTTTTTTTTTCTCTCATTAAGTATCAGGCAAAGTGCTAAAAGAAACCACCACCTATGGTATCTAAAATGTAGTCCCAGCACTGTGCTCCATTAAGCAATTTATTCAGCTTTAATGGGAGCAGCTGAAATCGTTCCTTATTGTTCTGTTTTCTGCCTTTACAGCCCCTGTGATTTTGTTTAGAGGTGAATGTCACCATTTTGGTCAAGGGGTTGTTTGTGTATCTGAATCCTCTGCTCTTCCTACTTGGGCAAGGAATGTCAGGGCATCGAGTCTCTGTGGTATTTAATGAAACAGTTAAGTGATCTGATCCAATGCAATATTTTCTTCTGCATTTGGAGTGGGTGTTCTTTTCTCTGGACTGTACCATAATAAAAGACCATTTGACTGTACAATTTTTCTTAACTGCTTTCAACATACAATGCACTGCAGGTCAGCAAAGGTGAGTTATTACCTGCAGCCACTGCATGAACAAATCCCGCAGCTGCTGAATCTAGCAGAGAGACTCGTGCTTATCCTTGTCTTGTACCCACATCTCACCTGCAGAGCACCAGCTCTTTTCCCATCCATTCCACAAACACCACCCAAGGGTGGCTGGAGCAAACACCGAAAACTATGGAGTGTGTGCAACGTGGTTACTATCACAGCATCCTTTTGAAAGAATGTTAGATTACACAGGAGATGGAGAGGTGGTGGGGGTGTTATTTGGACCCTCTTTCCAACAACCTGGATGAGGGGATTGAGTGCACCCTCAGTAAGTTTGTAGATGACACCAAACTGGGTGGGAGTGTCGATCTGCTTGAGGGGAGGAGGGTTCTGCAGAGGGACCTGGACAGGCTGGATCGATGGGCCGAGGCCAGCTGTATGAGGTTCAACAAGGCCAAGTGCTGCATCCT